ACACACACAGTCACAGACACACACAGTCACAGACACACACAGTCATAGACACACACAGTCACATACACACAGTCACACACAGACACAGACACACACACACACAGAGTCTAAGGCACTGGGTACAGGTCAAAACCTGTGCTGCAGAGACACATGAGCATGTATGTGTGTGTGACAAACTTTTAAGGAACAGACTGAACAATGACTGGCAACTTTATATAGGGTACTTCGTTTTCTTCAGGCACAATTTCAAGGCACACAATTATGTATATAATAAAAAGAATAAAAACTGTCAAAATTGGCTTTGAGTAGAATGTTTATAAAATGACATCCTAAGGTCAAAACCACATGTTTACCCATGTATAAATCCATGCTAAAACCAACAGTTGAAACAGCACAACTCATACCATTCACCTCAAAAACAGTGCTGGAAAATTCCTGGATGTGCAGACAGGTGCAAAGGAGGCGGAGTGCCAGGCATGGGGAACCCCTTTGAGTTGTTGCCCAGGGAGGGTCAATGGACCCCCCAAACAATACAGGCCACTGCCTTTGGCTGCCTGCCAGGATTTTAGGGTGAGACCCTCCTACTGGACACGACACACTTCCGACACGGGACTCGAGCTGACTGACTTGGCAGGACCGACCCTCACAGCGTCGGAGAGTGCTCCACAAGCTGCCAAGGGAGAAGAGCCATCGACAGTCCCACCCAGCGGTGAAGCCTGTGACGAGCCGGCAGGGCACGCCCTGGGGGGGCAACAGTGGCCCCTCGGAGGCTAACCCAGCTGTCCATTGGACTAAGACCACTCAATAGGAGGGACTTCAAAGCTGGCTCTGCAAACCCAGCTAACTGTCCCTGGTCATGGGTCCTACTGCAGGACGTACGACTGCCATCTTCCTAATTCAGTCTCATTTCTAACTGCATCCTCAATGCTCACCCAGTGCCCGCAGATACATACAGCTCTCATCCTTCTGCAGCAGATGGCGGCCACTGCAGAGACCCACAACTGGTCAGAATGCAGGGTACGTGACAGTGGAGCGTGCACTCCCATCAGAACATCACAGTGAACACCTACACCTAGGACTCGGGGGCCACTGTGGAAGAGGGCGTGGGAAGACTGTGAAGACCGCTGAGAGCCAGAGGCCAGGACGTCTGCTACCACACAGTGTCTTGTAGACACAAAGGGATGCTGCACCCATGAGATCTAAACAGAAGGCTCTCCTAAATAAGACCTGGATAATGACACCATTACTCAACACGCCAACATCGAGAGGGGAAATTTCATAAGCCTTCCCCCGCCAGACGAAGATTTATAGGCAATCAATGGTGGCTGAGAAAGGAAGAATCAGTTTTCTCCACGGATGAGCCCCAACAGGTCATCCAACCCAAGTGGTCAGCCCTAAACACATACACATAGCATCAACACTAAATAGACTCAGGAGGCTCTTGGATGTTTGTGTGTGTGTGTGTGTGTGTGTGTGTGTGTGTGTGTGTGTGTGTGTGTGTGTGCGCGCGCACGCGAATGTATAACTATACAATTCTATTAGAAGTCAAGAATTTGAGAGGGGGTTAAGAGTATGGGAGGGGTAGGGAGAGGGAGGGGTGGAAATAATACATATATAGTACTCCTGGATCAATTTTAAAAATCAATAGTAATTATCTTGAGGACCTTAAAAGGGGCAAAGATAGAAAAATAGATAAGAAAAGGGGATATTCCGGTCAGAGTATGAAATTATAAAGAACATGGACGACACAAATTTGTTAAATTTTGAAATACTTCAACTGGACAGCACTCCTTTGATGGAAAAAAGTACCTCCTCTGGGGACACATGAAGGCATCCCTCCTTTCAAGGAATATAGACAACTGGTTACATTTGTAAACAAGGAAGCATGCGTTACATGAGATTTATACTATGCAGCCCAAGCCGGCCTGGGGCTCACCTTCCCCCTATCTAGGTCTCCAGAGCACTAAAACCACACTCAGCTTCAACCAGCCATTTCTAACCTTAACCTACCGGTGGCTGCACTCCTTCTCAGTGGTACTGACAAACACTCTAAGTATTCAATGAGGGGGAGTAATTTGGACCCTTGAATAAATCTGATATATTGTCTCTTGTCGCCAGTGCCTTAAGCTGCAGGGACTCAGTAAGTTAGCAGACGCACAGCAAGCATTCAAGGGGACAAAAGGAATGTCAGGTACACAGGTGTCCATACTGTGATTCTCAGAGGCCAGACCGGATGCCAATGGTCAGATACAAATCCGCTGATGATCAAGGACCACAGATCTAAGCCCTCAGAACACTGATGCTTTTAACACAAGCATTACTTCTAACGCTTATTTTTACTGGTGTGTATAGGCTGGAAAATGAATATGGGACTCACAGATGACCACTGAGCTATACCCAATCCTCAGGCTTTTTAAAAAGTAAATAGGGATGTTTAGTGGTGTCAGCAAAGTGACATTTACTGAAAAATCTAAAGCCTAAATTGAGCAATATGAATAAATGGTTTAAATGAATACACTAAAGAACGACACAAAAGGGACTAGAAAGACGGCTCAGTGGTTAGGAGCACTGGTTGCTCTTTCAGAGGACACGGGTTCAATTCCAGATGGCAGTTCCTAACTGTCTGTAACTCCAGTTCTAAAGGATCCATCTTCTTCTTCTGGCCTCCGTAGGTACCAGTCATGGCCGTGGTGCACAGACATACATGCAGGCAAAATACTCATACAAATAAAATAAAAAGATGA